CGCTGGTTAACATGATCAAGAATGAATCCTTCACCTTTTTCACAGAACTAACTCGTGGAATTTATTGCACCACGTCTCGAATTTTTTTTGAACTTACGGTCGTAAAAATGCGTTCTGAAGTTCATGGTTTTAAGGCCGAAAACTTGAAGAGGTTCATTCCCGTAGCAAGTACCAAATCTTTGCCATCAAAGATCATTATATTACACTGGCAATATTAGAGTGATGTAGGAACTAATGAAATTATCACTTGAGAACTCTAAAGCGCGCGGGTGACTTGTGGGAGTATGAAGTTGTCCTCAAAAAGAAGAGGGCATTAATTATAATTAGGTTAGGTCGACTTCATACTTAATGAAATTCATTTTCAGGTCAATTGTGAACGTTAAGCCAAAACGCTGAGATAATTGTGTGCAGTAAGAAGGAAGAAGTCAGTAGCAGTACGCCAGAGTGTTATATTTCATTAATAATTACAGCATGATCATCCACATCAAGGTCATATGTCACGTATCAGTTATATGATCTTTGATACTCAACTACTTCAACTCGATCGTCAGCTTACGCGATGGCCATCAATGCTGGTGTTTTAGAGGCTGTTGTAAGCTTTTATCGAATTGTTTCGGAGACGGCATTTGAGCGTTAGAGAAGCTGCAATCCTATTAATGATGTAAACACCATACTGGCGATGAAAAAGCTCATCTCGTTCCTTGGTCTAATGGGGTTGTCCAGTAAATAAACATGGCCTTGGAGATTTTGTCGTGTGAAACTTTATCAAAAGGCTCCAAACTCAGGGGGGAAGAGCGAATTCGGAAACTCGAAGCTTGTCTAGGTTCGCCCTCCTTTAGAAAAGCCAACTTAAATCTACGCTGTAAGTGAAAACATTCTATTGCGTCCAGACGATGTCCAGAAAGGAATTACAAGAGTGACATTACGTTTCAATGAAGTTCAGTTGGCATTGTTGGTACTGGAGTCGGTCCAGACTGTGGTCTTTCTGTTTGCAACCTTTCAAGCTTATACTTAATTCTAAAAACCAACTCGGAGTATTGTCAAGAAATCAAAAGAATTTGTGAATTTGAAGACGGGATAGCCGCCCAGTTAGCCCAAGGATAGTGCGCTGGACTGTTGTGCGGGAGGTCGAGGGTTCGAGCTCCGACCGGACCAACACTCAAGGTCTTAAAATAATTGAGAAGAATTTGCTACCTTTCTACAACATCAAGAAATTGTTAGATATTCTAGTCTTCTCGGATAGTGACGAATAAATGGAACTCTCGTCTCCTGCAGGGTTGGGGGTAGGAGACGTTAATTTCCCACACAAGAGATTACTGTGTGATGGATGTCCTCCCCTGGGGTGGGATGGTGGGATGTACAGGCCTCCATTTAAATCAGCTTCAAGCTGAACTGGGCTGGCCTGTCTAAATATTGTAAATATCGTAAATACATACATAGCGTTCACTGACTCGGTAGATCGAAAGGTAAAGTTCTTCTATCCTTCTGAGAAAAACGTTAGAATATTGATGGGCAATTGTCAGAAAGGAGCAATTGATGGAACGGATGAAACGTTTTCTTTTGCGCAAGTTCATGGCATCTGATCTATGGAGAAGACCCCATTCGTATCGGATATTGCTCCAGGTTACAACCGATCTGTTTCATCTATTAACAAGGAACTTTTGATTGTGAACGAGCTGATTAGCTGATGAGCTGTGATACACGCGTCCTGACATTAACTTGTCTGATATGACCGAGAAAACACTTTTGATTTGACTGTGGATTAGGGGCTGATCCATTGAGATCTAATGGTTGTTAAAGGGAACCTTAAAGGAGTTCATCACTGATTAATTGATTTATCAATATACAGACCCCCAAAGAATGGAGATGGAAAGAAAAGAGAAATAAAGGAATGGAGAAGAACATGTGCAGGATAGTTCCTTCGTATGGTTAGAGAAGTTGACATAATGGTTTGTTTGTTTAACAGTGTTTCTTTTATTTCAGTCTTTCATTTGCATAATGAAGCGGAGGAATTATTCCTTACCCCTTAGATTAATCTCACGAATTAAAAAAGAAGCCAATTATAAACGAGACTAAGGAGCACCGGACGGCCTTATATTGTATAAACACCACTTATGGGTTGACCTCTTGTGTACAGCTCAAGACAGTTCTTAGCTGTTAAGGGATAGAAGAAAATTTTCGTCATCCATTGCGGTTATCAAGGAAACAAAATAAAAAAAGAAAAGAAGAAATAATAGAAAATCAAGTAAAAGGAATAATGCAACGAATAAACGACAGTTCTGAACTCACGGAGAACGCTAAAGTGCAACTAGAACTGTTATTCGCAAGGGATCGCTGAATCCTAACGCCAACTTAGAAAAACACTCTGCCAATATGTGAACAACCGTCGTATTCAAGGAAATGTAATCCAAGGGTTACCATGATATACTAAGGTATAGATTGTTGCTCGCAATTCTCGGAAGTTGAAGGTAACAATTGAATCATGAATAAAAGTGCCACACATAGCAGCAAAGAAGTATTTTGTGAAGCAGACATGATACGATTAAATTCCCCTTCCGACCTCAAAGCAGAAGATCTCGATAGGTATATGTACCACAGCTGTAGATTAAAGAAACTTATATTACTCAACCTTTTATTTATACAGTGCAATTTTTCTTAACTAAGCAAGGCGTAGAAACTATATAAACGTAATACGAATATGTTAGCATGCAAGTGCATTTCCGGGGAGTCTCCCAACACTCATGGGTGAGGATGTTCTGGAATATAGCATCCGTATTTCGCTGCTTGAATTAGCATAGGAAGTTGAAAAGATCGATAAACTATTTTCAGTCGAAATAAGCGTGAAGCTTGCTCTTCTTGTTTAGAAAATGTCTTCTTTGCTCACTAAAACATCAAAGCTGGCACCATTCTGAGGTGAAGCCTCGTTAAGGTGTTAATCATAACTTTCTACATCATTTTATGAATGACAATCATGAGTTTTAAATGTTGAATGAGTTGAAATGGTCATAATGTGTTTAGCCATCATCTTCATGCCGCATTCTTGAGAGCTATCGTCAATGTAACAGTCCCGTAGCAAAACTTTCTAACGATTATTGAGAACGTGGGTGTTAAATTTAATTTCTTAAGAACGTGATCGGAATTCCATTGCGGCGGATTAAACTTTGTGCTCAAGTGTTAAAATACACAAACACCATTGTTATACTCTCAATCGTTATTTTTCGTACCGGATGGTGTTTGAGCGGGTTGGGACAACTTACTGTTTCCCCTATCCAAATTACAATACAATTGATTTTTAAAGCAAGATGCTAAATAGGAAAGACCCTCCATCGGATGGGCTTAATGTTCAGTTTAGTTCTAAGCGGTCAGTAGTGACATCTAGAGCCAGATGCTTATGTTTCTAACATATAACTTTACAATTTCTCTTCAAAATGCACTGTCAAGATTTTAAACGCAATTGTTTTGACCTCACGTCTTCTGAATGTGAATAGTTTCAAAACAAACATTTTCTAGCAACTGTTGTTATGGGAACTGATCCTGTTGTCGTAACTCACTAGTATTCGCCAAAATGGCATATCTTTATGATTATCACAATGGAGAGGAAGTTCACAGAACTTACGTTCCTACGATCATTTTATGATTGAGGTGAAAACTTTATTTAAGTAACACTTCCTGACATTCACGTGTTTCTCATTTTCACTGAGTTCTTAACATTCAAACCGCACAAATGAATTAAATAAATCGATTAATCCACAGTAGCCTTGTAGAAATTTCTGTATTTAACTTCCCTATCCGGTTAACACAAGGGAGATATGATTCTGATAGAGTGCTTCACTCCTTTTATGGAGTATGACTCATACTCCGTTGCCCAAGAAAATTGTGCAATCTCATTATTTATAAATCCCCTTCGACAGAACCATTTGTATGACGGGAATCCCCGAAGAACATAAAACTCCCTCTCGCATCTTCGGTATTACGCCTGATTTACGTACTCCAATTGAAATGCATGTGATAAGATAAGCTTTTCAACAGTGGAAATAGTGATTGCTCATCAATCTGATAAATATAAATATATGGCTGAGTAGTTGAAATTTCTTCAGTCTAAAACTGCGCTACAACGCAAGTCATTGTAGATTTCAAGCCAGAGAAAAAAGTTCCATCCCATCATGTCTGCTTTGCAAAGTTCTTCTCTGCTCAGCGTGGCACTTTTGATTACGATTCAAGTTTTATCTTTAACTCGTGCAGCCCTGGCAGTGCACCCGACAGTGCACAAAAGCAGCACCCATCAAGGAAACAGAAACGAGACAGGTATGATTATGAACTATAGTATATTTTTGCAACCTTCAAATCCTAATTAGTTTTTCTTAAAAAGAGGGCCCCATTCAAAAAAATAATGCTTCACACTATGATTTTTTAGTAAGAACTAGGTTTCTATGACTCCTAGGTGAAAGCCAGACTGCGAGACTTCCCCACGCATTTGACCTCTTTTGAAGTCATCATTCGTTTCATATTGATCAACTCATCAGAATCGTTGATTGAAACATATAACGTGCCTGTCATTATTAAGTCTACCCCATTGATTCTCCTTTCTTAATTTTATTTTTCTGCTTTCGTTTTCTTCCTTTGACACTTGTGAATGCATAGGCAACATAGAATGATTTAACTCCGTATTAATTCAACTAAAAAGACAAGAATTTCATGTTTATGTATTCATACTTCTGCCAACTTTCCTTAGCTGATAACTGTGCCGAGCTGCAACAAAAAGGTCAAACAATCAGCGGTGTTTTTACGATTGACCCCGATGGCTTAGATGCAGTTGATGTATATTTCGATCAGACAAAGGCCGGTGGGGGTTGGACAGTATTCCAGAGGAGAATGAATCCATCCGTTAATTTCAACTGCACCTTAGATGACTACAAAGCAATTTCCTCATCGGTGAATTCTGGCTCGGACTTGAAAAGATTCGCCGTCTGACACGAAATGAGACAAAAAATAAGCTACGAATGGACCTTGGAGTGAGAGATATCGAAACTCTTTACGCTGAGTACACAACGTTTGGCATTGGGGACGAGAAAAGTAACTCCACGCTAAACCTTGGCAATCTTTTGATTAAGTTTCTCTTAGTCAGTTACATATTTGTCAAAAGTCTATTTATGTCTTTACTTTGTGTATATAGGTGTCGTCCATACGCGCCTGTATTGTGTTGCAAGTTCTGTTAGCAATGTCGACGTACCTTGTACATGAACGTCGCTGTGATGAAATTTACAAATAATCTGTGTCTTCGTGATTCCCCGATAGTTAAATGGCAAAGCACCCGCCTGGTACACGAGGGTTGGAATCTAAAGCATCCTTGAGCTCTAATATAACTTGATCGAGGTCACTAAAGCCTTAGTTCTGCCTGTGGCACAAGAAAACATCCGCGACTGCTTCATCAGATAAAAAAAGGAGCTCCACACTTCTTAAGTTTTGATATGAATAAAGATTTAATAACGAGACGAATGCAATATTTCTGCTAGATAAGACTGTCGATGGAGACTCTCTTACGCCCCATAAAGGCACCAAGTTTGGCACCGCTAATACACGTTGTAATCTAGTAAGTGCTGCAGCCTGGTGGTACAATGAAACGACATGTTCTGGCGGGTCCAACCTTAATGGTGCCTATATATGTGAAAACTGGAGATGGCAAAATTCATTGGGGAATTCTAGATTCCAGCGATGCTGATTACGGCAGCACTCCATCAACATCTGAGATGAAAATATAAGGCCAGCAAATTTTTCTTAAAGCTATCTAATCCATCAGTTCGTCAACCAATAATTTGTTACTTTCAAAGATAAAAACCAAAGTTTAAAAAGTCCATATCAAATGACAAATCGATAGCTCTCTAAGGTTAATACTTCTTTAAAATAATGTTAAACGATGTCTAACTTGGTGAAGGTTCTACACAGTGACGTGATATGTCATGTGTGCATTTGGTTATGTCGTCAGAAAGAAGGGAAATATTTACGCCATGCCTCTACCGTTATTTTTGCCGTCTCGTGGAATTGCTAGTTGTCTCTTAGAAACAGACTGTTGTTAGTTTAAATTCGCTAAATCGTTGAACTGGAATAGGGATTTTTAGCTTCTCGTTAATGCTAGCCTTGTTTGTAGCAGATTTTAAACAATCGTCTGTTCTGACCGGGTTGGCTGATACTCATGCAACTGATCAGCTTATGCAACAGAGACTCTGCAATATTTCTCATTCTTTTCGACAAAAAATTTATAATTATGTTTATTTGATCATTGCAAGTCTCGACCACCTCATGTCAAATGTACAAAGTGGATCTCGTTACCTCAATCATAACAGCGATAAATTTCTACAGACTTTTTCAAAATTCTTAAGTTTTGAAAACGTGCCATAAAATCACGCAGGGTTTCTTAGCTTGAGGCAATGGTTATGAAATGACGAATTTTGCACGATGCAATGATCTTACAGTTAGTGCTCGAGGAACTTAATCAGCAAAGAAACCCAGTAGGAGGAAAATGTCTAGAATATGAATTCCCCTCGCAGTCCTTTTACCTTGCTGTTTCTTTAAAGTAATGGTGAATACAAGTGTATCCTTTTATCGAAGAACGGAAATGTCGGTGGCCATAACGCAGAAACGCTGACAGTATCCGTGTCCTTGACTCATTCGGGGTCATCTCTGACGAACTGTAGGTGATGATGGATGGTCCGAAGTCTTTTCATATTTTCAATAAGTTGGACTATCTATAAGCACTGTCAAACAATACAGCTATTGATGAGATTGAAAAACTTGAACTTCAATAAATCGTAATTTCTATATTTTCAATGTGTTAAACATTAAGACCTAGAAAAGTTAATCAGAAGCAGGCGCATTCATCTGACGAAAGCTTTATCTCGATCACGACAGCCGTCGAATCTACCTTCTTAATAAATTACGCAATCATATATGCGTATAGCACAGACCATTGTGCTAGAAATTTTAATCGCTTTGTTTCCTTTTTCCTTTTGACCACACATCAAAGTTGCCGGTTTATTCAACTCAGGTTTGTTTAATGAAAGCTCCAATTTTAAACTCCAAGTAAGCTTTGTAAGTCTAGTGACTAGACGTTAAATAAACAAGCTGTTCAACCCGGGATAAATATATTAATTTATTAATCTCAAACATACACATGTGTATCGGCCGTATACACACTATCTGCACACATTCGTCTGAACACTTTGACAATACGTTAACAAAAATTAGTTTTTGAGCTAGTTTTAAATTATCATGCATGGCATGGTCAGATATAGTTTACCGGTTCAAACTTCCTACGAACACAATCTTACGTTCTCGTCTCCGTTAAAAGACCCATTAAATTAACTGTGTTCCCTGATAAATCTTAGATAACTTTAAGTGATTTTAAATTTGACTGATTCCCAGTGAATATTGTGACTAGTTCCGCGATGAGGATGGAGCTCCATTTTTTAAGAGGGCAACGTGAACCGACCGAGAGCGTTATTCATTTTCCTTCTTTAGTAGTTGAGCCCCTAGTACTTGCATTTCGTATATCTAGTGAACAAATATGACTGTTGATTTTTCACGCTGCAGCTTCTTAAAACATGGCAACCTTTTTTCAATTCTTGCTCCATATCAGGCTGAATACAACGGTAGGCGCCTTCTTCTAAGGCACTCCCTTGGTAAGTAAGAGTTAAGAGTTAAGAGTTAAGAGTTAAGCGTAAGAGTTAAGAGATTCATCGCGTCCCTCACAGTCGTTATGCAAAATAACCTTTCACACACTGCTGGAGGTTTGCGTTGTGCGCAAACATCCGGAGGAGTGCACGGCAGCACTCTCTCCACTCTTTCATGAACACTTTCCTTTCGTTCAAAATTGTCTGAGAACGTAGACGTTCGTTGAAAAGGACAGACTGAAAATGCATAATAAACTGAGGCACTGTGTATTAGGAGCTAGAGTGACTTGAGCTCTTAACTGTGCACTTAGCTAAGTGATCCGCTTTAGGGACTCCCTCGAGATGCAACCAATGTCTATAGCATATTTGCTACGTATTAAGCGTAAAAGTTAGGGAGGAGGTGGGATTAAGTTTTTTAAGTAACATAATTAAGAAATATTTAGGAAAACTGTTCACGATTCGTGCAATAGCCCTACAACCTAAGATCATATAATGTTTCGATCAACATTTAAATTTTATTCTGACTCAAGCGCTTGAACACGAGAGCACGCTAAGTCTGGGCAACGTTAAGCCTTGGATCAAAAACGAAGGTAGTGTGAGTGCGGAACGTTACTCGCAGGACGATCGGTAAACTCACGTAAAAACAGAACATTATTTAAGAAACGGTAATTACAGTGATGTTAACGTTGTTCCCGACGAAAAAGATTTTATAGAAATTTATGGAAACGAAGCCATGAGACGTTAATTAGGACTTAGAGATAACGAAACGATGAGAACAGGCAGAGTAAACGATGTAAAAAACAGTAGAAAGTGGTTTCGAAAACTAAGAAGTAAATACAAGGAAAAAATATTATTAAAACACCATGAAAAAAGAGTACTTTTTCGTAAAAGTTTTCCAAGCTTTCTGTTTTATTTTTTTCCGGAACACAAAAAGTTGTACAAACTCGAGTTCAAAGCAATGTGTAATGATTAAAACACAATTCATAGAAAGGAATAAAACCTTGGAAACAAACTCTGGATTCCATTAAAAGATGTAAAAGTTTAAAGTGCTTCTGAGACGAAAATTGATGTTCTTCAAAACTAGTTTTTTTATGCCAACAATTAAGGTTTAGGTCCTAAACGAAAAGAAAAAAAATACAATTGAGACCTACGACGGCAAGAAATGTCCTAGAAAAATTTGACTAAAATTGGCTAAATTCATCCGCCATCGTTCAACAACTGAACCAACGATATTTTTCAGCGTCTTTACCCGTTGTGACATCATAGTATCCCTTTCGTCGAGGCTCTGTCAAAGTAAATAAAGGAATTCATCGATAATGCTCGAAAACGTCGCCGTTCTTCATTTTAACCGACAGTAATAGTCCTGTTTCTTTCGATGAAAGGACCATAGATGATTGTTGTAGCGGTTGAGGAAAAATATTGGATAATTCGCGCTCCGTAAGACGAAGAAGTAGAGCCACATGCAACCGAGGAAAAGGCCGGCGCTCATTAGGACGGTCTAAACGTGGCGCGTTTAAACGTGGCTTGTGAAGAAGTGAGGGACCTTGAGCTTCAAAAGCGGCTCACTGGTGAAGCAGAAGTTTATAATACAAAGTCTAGCATATACGCTCTTAGTTACTCTTTTGTAACAGGATAAAAATATCTCTTGAAAGGCTATCTTTATTGTGTTTCAAGGTGTCTTCGAGCATCACTCTTCCAAGCAGTTTACCCTTGTTCTTATTGTGTTGGAAGTTTAAATATTTTCCCTTTTTCCTACTATGACTTTAGACTATTCTGCAACGCTTTTCCTCGCGAGACTGTGGATTACAATGGCTTCGAAGAAGATCAGTAGCCTGTTCCTTTCTATGAATTGTGTTTTAATCATTACACATTGCTTTGAACTCGAGTTTGTACAACTTTTTGTGTTCCGGAAAAAAATAAAACAGAAAGCTTGGAAAACTTTTACGAAAAAGTACTCTTTTAAATCTCTGGGAACAAAAGTATTTTGTCTAAGCTGTTACCGTGACACCCAGGAACTGAAAATTCCAGAAATCCATGTACTTATGCAATGTCCTGGCATTTCAAGGAAAAAGCCGCAAGCAGGGGCTTTGCTCACTCCTCAATTTTGAGTTGGACACTACGCAGTCGCTGTCCTGTGAAAACAAATCAAAGTGTTTTTAGTTTTCGTAGTACTACAGTAATAATCAAGCAATGTGTTTATGTAGTTTGTATATTTAATGGCCATATTTAGTGCAGATCTGGAGTTTTCCACTTGCTCAACCCACTAGAGGCTATGTTAACAAGTAAAAGTCCTCCATTGCTTAAATATCAATTTAAATGTTATTGAAATTTTTTTTTCATCGTGAGTCTTTCATAGATTTACGCCGAAAACAAACCACGATAGGAGCTTTCAAATTTCAAGAAAGCTTTGCAAACTCAAGAAGCAGTCAAGAGGTTTGCATAATTCTTGGGACTTACCTGATATTGCTAATTTTTACTAAATACATCATTCATGTACATACAGAAGGCTTTGATGATTTCATTTATTTACTGCACATAATTATGTCAACGTTTTCGCATAACGTTAACAATTGACCTTAAAATCAATCTTATTTAGTATGAAGTCGACTGAACCTAATTACAATTAATGCCTCTAGGAATTTATTTTTGGATCTAACTGACTGACGGCAAGGTCAGGGGTAGTTTACCGGTATAAACTTTCTACAAACAAAATTTTGCATTTTCTTTCCATCAAAAGACTTCTTAAATTAATCCCTTCACCTAATAAATCCTTGATAACTATACCAAATTTTAAACTTGACTTTCCCTTCACCACACCGTGATGGTTGAGGAACAGTGTCAAATTCTTTATGCCATTTGTTTCTTAACCTTTCTGTCTGCCTTTCTGAAGCAAGATATCCAGGAATCTTTCTCCTCAAATTTCTAAATATTTTCTTCTGAATTACTGAATCCTGCGTTCCACTGGTGTTTTCAAAGTTGTGAAATCAATTAGGGATAAGGAGAAATCGATATGATATCAAGCACCAAGTTCGTACTTTTCACCAGTATTCTTGTTGATCTACGCCAACAGTCCATAATACCCAAAACTGATGGGTGTGACCTTAAACCGCCCGCCATAATCTACGGCTCGCCGTCAATGATCATGAATTTCCTGACATACAAGAACATTGACGAGTAAGGATAAGGATACTCTCTTTACATGATGTCCTTTGTCTCACCGTTGCCTTTGTTAATACTTACGTTTGAGACTTACAATAAAGAGCACGTACAATGAAAGGAATCCAGGATTATCATGTTACTCACAGTCACTTTCCTCCACCTTTGTTAGGTGTTTAATTGAAGTACTCGGGTCATGCAAATTTCGTCTCCGATAAACTGTCATCAATCATTTAGCATTGCCTGAGGCGAAGTCGTGCCGCGCAGTCTTTGTATATGCTCAAATTATTCACAACATTGTGTACATCCATTTCAGATTTAATGAAGTCCTTCAGGCAAACGCAAACGCAAACGCAGTTTGCAATGGCTTAAGTAAAAGTTTTGTGGCACACTGTAGTCAGAAGTACCTTTCAGTGAACTTACTTGACTTTCATCCAAGACAAATGACTGGATTTTGTAACTAATGCAACTGCCTTTTACACCTTCAGAATCATCAAAGTGATTGTGCTTTTGAGCATAGACACACTTTTCAAAAAAGAGAGGATAATAGAAGTAATGATATGTTCTATACGTCTCGGGGGAGCTTATTAGAGCTAAACGCTATATTTCCGCACCTCATTGATCCTGTCTAATCTGGATTAATTACGCAAATTTTAAATCGATTTTCAAGGTCAGGTGATCAAGCGTAGTCTTGAACAGGGAATAAATCAAAGGCTAAATGATCCGTTATCAACATTCACTAATGAAATTACAAGAAAACCATCCGCTTATAGATTCTAAAAATCAAACTCAGGCATTCATTTATCTCTCTAACCTGCAAGTTTGTCAGTCTCTCGCCTGGTGACCTATTTCATTTATTGAGGAAACGAATTATTTAAATAAAAAGACCATGTTCCTCAAGATGGTCAGCTAGCTGAATTGACCGGGCCATTACTTCATCTTCGTTTGAAATGCGACACAATTTTACCGGCTATCTCTACAAAGTTAAAATCTTTCATCCAAGCGTGTGGCTATATCAATATACTCTATAATAAATGTTAAACAGAGTAAGGCTGACATTCCCGCTAGGAATAGAAATTAAACGAACATTCCAATAGCTTCACCCGTGGTTTGAGTGATTTCAACTTTTCGATTGTATAAACACCACTTATGATTTGACCCCTTGTAAACAGTTCAGCACAGTTCTTAGCTGTTGAGGGATAAAAATGAGAGTTCTGTTCTTCACTTAAGAGTATCAGGGAAAAAGAATAAACGAGGAAAAGAAGGATTACAAGAAAATCAAGTAAAGGAAACAATGCAACGAATAAACGATCGGCACGATTGAGCTGTCGAATTTAACATCTTGTGATACGAAATGTATAATACAGTATTAAACTCATGGAGAACGCTAGAGTGCCACTAGAATTGTTCTCCGCAAGGAATCGCTGAATCCTAACACCAACACAGAAAAACATTCTGCTAATATCATAATCCAAGGGTCATCATAATACACCAAATCATAGTTTCTCACTCATATTTCTCGGATTCTGTCTTGTTGTTTTTGTAACTTATCCGAAGCTGCACGAGTTGAAGGTAACAATTGAATCACGAATAAAAGTGCCGCACTGAGCAGCAAAGACGAATTTTGTGAAGCAGATATGATACGATGAAATTCCTCTTCCGACCTTAAAGTTTTAAATCTCGAACAGTGAATGTAGCACAGTTGTAGATTAAAGAATTGCTATTACTCAACTTTGTATTAATACAGTGCAATTTTCCTTAACTTAGCAAGGGTAGAAACTATGTAAACGCAATTGGAATATGCTAGAAGACAACCGTATTTCCCGGGAGTCTCCCAATACTCATAGGGGAGGATGTTCTGGAACTTCTCTGCTTGAATTAGCATAGGGAGTTCAAAATATTAATAAAATATCTCAAGTCGAAATACGCTTGAAGCTTGCTCTTCTTGTTTGGAAGATGTCTCCTTCTCTACTTACTCAAACTTCAAAGCTTGCACAGTTTTGAGGTGAAACCTCAGTGACCCTTAAAATAAATGAAACCTTCCATCACGGTCAGATTATAATTGTATGAAAGAGATGAGGACATGTAGAATTCTGTATCTTTACCTTTTTAACTAAAACATCATGTGATATTCACCTTAACATTTTTGCATCATTTTATGAATGACATTCATAAGTCCTAAATGCTGGATGTGTTTCGCCGTCATCTTTTTACCGCATTCTTGCGAGTTATCGTCACTGTAGCGGCCCCCGTAGCAAAATTGTCTTATGATATTGAGAACGTGGGTGTTAATTTCTTTAGAGCAAGCTCCGAATTCCGTTGTTATTACAAAGAGTGGGGGACTAAACTGTGTTACGCTCGAACACTCCAATTACATCGTGAGTGAGCCTATACTTGACCGAGTACCTTTTAAGGAACTCACTATTTGTTGTACGTGATACTCTGAGGGCGTTAGGATAACTTAGTGTTTCCCGCATCCGAAATGCAATTGATTTTTAAACTTTTAAGCAATTCTTTCAAAGGGATGTTGCACTCTCTCATTCGCTCACATTTACCGCTATCTGATATAAACGGCTCAATAAAAAGCTCATAGTATTATCTGTAAATGGGCTATGGCTTCCTCTAAATTGGAATGATTATCCATATCGGATGGGTGTAATGTTCAGTTTATTTGTTAGTAGTCCGTAGTGATATTTAGAGCCAGATGCTTATGTTTCTATTATAGATGATTATTAAATTTCCCTTGAAAATGCAGTGGTACGATATTACACGCGATTGTTTTGACCTCATCTTTCCTGAATGTGAATATTTTCAGAACAAAAATTTCTAGCAACTGTTGTTATGGGGGCTGATCCAGTTATGATAACTCGCAAGTATCCGCCAAAAAGGCATATCTTTATGATTGTCATATTGGATCATTTTATGATTAAGGCGAAAACTTTCTGACATTCGTGCGTTTGTCATTTTTACTGGGTTCTTAATATTGAAACCGCGCAAACTAATCAAATAAATCGATTAATCTACAGCAGCCTTGTAGAACTTTCTCTTTTTAACCTCCCTATCCGGTTAATACAATTGAGGTACAATTCTGATGGAGCGCCTCACTTCTTTTATGGAGTATGAGGTTTCCGTTGCCTATGAATATTGTCTCACGCTAAAAAACCCCATCGACAGAACCATTTGTATGACGGGAATCCCCAAAGAACATAAAACTCCWTTCTCGCATCTTCGGTATTACGCCTGATTGAAGTATTCCAATTGAAATGCATGTAATTAAATAAGCTTCCTAATGCTATAAATGCAAGGTTGAGCAGTTGAAATTTCTTTAGTCTAAAACTGCGTTACAACGCAAGCCATTGTAGATTTCAAGCCAGAGAAAGAAGTTCCATCTCATCATGTCTGCTTTACAAAGTTGTACTTTCCTGCTAAGTGTGGCACTTTTGATTACGATTCAAGTTTTATCTTTAACTCGTGCAGCCCCGACAGTGCCCAAAAACAGCATCCATCAAGAGAACGGAAACAACGAGACAGGTATGATTCAGAACTTTCATATATTCTGGCAAACCTTCAAATCCTAATTAGTTTTTTCTGCAAGAGGATCCCACTCATAAAATAAATCTGTCTGACGAGTGCGAAAGCACGAAACTCAGAGTTACAATGAATCATATGTGTTTCATTTTAGTCAGTTTGAATTGTATTACTTCATATTATGTTTTCTCAGTAAGAACTAGGTTTCTATGACTCTTGGACAAAAGCGAGATTGCGAGACTGTTCCCCATGCATATGACCTCTTTTGAAGTCACCGTTCGTTTCACATTGATCAACTTATCAGAATCGTTGGCTGAAACATGTAACGTGCTTGTCATTATTAGTCTACCCCATTGATTCTACTTTCTTAAATTTCCTTTTTGTTCCGCTTTTGTTTTCATCTTTTAACACTTATGAATGCATGGGCAGCATAGAATGAGTTAACTCATCACCAATTCAATTAAAAAGACATGAAATTCATGTTCATACATGCATATTAATATTCAGTTTCTGCCAACTTTCCTCGACAGCAAAGAACTGTGATGAGCTGAAACGAAAAGGTCAAACAATCAGCGGTGTTTTTACGATCGACCCCGATGGCTTAGGTGCATTTGATGTATATTGCGATCAGACAACGGCCGGTGGAGGTTGGACAGTATTCCAAAGGAGAATGAATCGATCCGTTAATTTCAACCGCACCTTGGATGACTACAAACGTGGCTTCGGGAATTTCCTTATTGGTGAATTTTGGCTCGGACTTGACAAGATCTACCGTCTGACACGAAATGAGCGAGAAAACAAGCTGCGAGTGGACCTTGGAAGGAGAGACATCAAAACTGTTTACGCTGAGTACGCGAGATTTGGCATTGGGGACGAGAATAGTAACTACACACTAAACCTTGGCAATCTTTGGGGTAAGTTTCTCTTAGTAAGTTATATATTTGTCAAAAGTCTCTATTTCTGCCTTTACTTTGCAAATAGGTGTTGTCCAGACGCCTGCATTGTTTTGTTAGTTCTGTTATTGGTTTCAACGCACCTTATGCATAAGTGTCGCTGTGATGAACTTTATAAATGATCTCCCCCCCCCCCAAGCTCGATCGATATCACAAAAGCCTCAGTTCTGCGCGCGGAACAGCAAAATGCCCGCTATTGTTTTGTCAGAAAAAAAAGGAGCTACACACTTTGAAATTTTTAAAATGAATGAAGAGATAATAATGAGACGAATGCAATATTTCATCTAGATAAGACTGCTGCTACCGACTCTCTTATGCACCATAATGGCACCAAGTTTGTCACCGCTGATACAAGGTGTGATTCAGGAGGCTGGTGGTACCATGAAACTGACTGTAACAGAGAGTCAAACCTTAATGGTGCTTATGGGAAAACTGATAAAGAAGGCAAAATTCACTGGGGAAATCTAGATTCCAAGGATGCTGCTTATGGCAGCACTCCCTCAACATCTGAGATGAAAATTAGGCCAGTACATTTTTCTGAAAGCTAACTTATCCAGTAGTTCGTCCACCGATAATTTGTTACTCCCAACGAGAAAAAATTAGAAGTCAAAGGACCAATCACTAGCTTTTGAGGTTAATCCTTTATAAAATATCGTTAAACGATGTCAAGATCGATTGAATGTTTTACATAGCGACGGGATATATCATGTGTACATTTGCTTATGTCGTTAAAATAAAGAGAAATATTTACACCATGTTTCTACCATTAGTTTTGCGGTCTCATGGAATTGCTAGCTGTCTCTTTAAAACAGACTGTTATTAGTTCGAATTTGCTAACTCGTTTAACTGGAATAGGGAATTTTAGCATCTCGTTAATGCTAGCCTTGCTTGTAGCGGATTTCAATCAATCGTCTGTTCTGACCAGGTTTGGCTGATACTCGACGGATTTGCTTGTGCAAGAGAGACTCTGCAATATTTATTATTCTTTCCGACAAAAAGATGTCAGCAGGAAGTGGTTTGTGGGGGGGGGGACACTTAGAGAACCGGAGCACTTCCCACGATAGCCTTACGTCAAATACAATTTTTAGGTTAATTCTTTCATTTTTATATGCTCGTGGCGTATAAGATATCGTTATTTGTCGCAAGCACTCCCCAAGCTTGCAAATTCAAAAGTCACTTTGCGCAATTGTCCAAGATTATACTCAACACAACCGAGTCACGTTCTAATGATTTTAGCCGATACTTAAAAATTTGTTGCACTGTTTCCCTCTCTTCTAACCAATTGAGCTAACCGCCTCCCGGTCAGCTCAATTGGTTAGAGCGCTGGATTGTGTTGTGCGGAAGGTCGAGGGTTCGAGCCCCGGCGGGACCAATACTCATGGTCTTAAAATAAGTGAGGAGAATTTGCTACCATTCTATAATCAAGAAATGGATAGATATTCTAGTCTTCTCGGTTAAGGACGAATAAACCGTAGGCCCCGTCTCCTGCAGAGTTAGGGTCGTTAGGTAGATAGATAGATAGATAGTTTAATCTCAAAAACATTTGCAGCCCAAGGGCTGAGTTACACAATTTTACAATCCAAGAAGTTTAAAATTTAAAATTCAAAAACCTAATTACACATCTTATTATACCAGCAGTTTACAATATTATAACATGATAATAAATTAAAAAAAATATATTAGCTATAATAGTAAATTAATTAAAATAAATGTAAATTAATGAAAAGTATCTACATTATCATCATCAACATTATTATTACTATCATTATCACGCGTACCGTAACAAAAGTAAAGGATATCGTATCGATAAAAATCTAGCCATTAAACTTCTTTGCCATAGCAAATATAAAAGTGTTCATCGTTCTGGAAGTGCGAAGGCGTGGCATATTAAATTGGCGCTTATTTTTGAAGTTATAGCTGGGTTTATGTATGGGTGGAAGAAGCGCCTTTAACTTATGGTTAGGGTTGTCTAAGATACCTTTAAAAAGCTTCTGACAGAAATTTGTAATTCTCTAAGATAGGTCGTATTCCTAAATCTTTAGCAACCGCGCAATCACCCGCAGTTATAATGGAAATTGACCGTTTCTCAATACGTAAAAGGTCATTCTTCAGATATTGCGGAAGCGCATTATAGAAGACAGGTATCGCGTACTCTGTTACAGATCTTACACATGATGTGTAGAAAGGGGTAGGACACGTTAATTTCCCACGCACGAGATTACTGTGTCGTGGATGTCCACCCCTAGGGTGGGATGGGTGGGAATTGGCCCTGAAAAGCCCCCATGGGGAGTGGTCAACTAACCTCTGTATGTATCTGTATTCCATCCATACTCGAAGAGGTTTATTAAGAGTTAACGTATCCTCGCCTCTAGACTGGAAGTATTCCTCAACTCACCATTGCAACTCAACATATTCTAATGAGTTGAAAAGAGATTTGATGGCCAAAATAGAGACAATTGATAATTCTGTTGATTTGATCATTGCAAGTCTCGACCACCCCATGTCAAATGTGCAAAGTGGATCATACCAGCAATAAATCTCAACAGACGTTTTCAAAATTCTTGAGTTTTCAAAACGTGTTTCAAAATCACACAGGATGTCTTTGCCTCAGGCGACGTTTGCATGACGCAAACCTTACAGGACCTTAAAGCTTCCCTGGAGTTTAAAATTGGAGCTTTCATAAAACAAATTCTAGAAAATTAGAGAGGGTACAGGAACGGGGCCTTAGGGCTGTTTACTGTAAAAGCAGATCATCATATATCTATCGACTTAAAAGGGCTAAATTAACAACCTTATATAATAGAAGATTACATGATATAGCCGTGTTAATGTATAAAGTTAAAAACGATCTGTGCCCAAATAATATTAAGAACTTGTTTGACATTAATAATAATAGATACAATTTAAGAAACAATGATTTCATTGTTCCCAGAGTAAGCACAACACGTTATGGTAAGCACTCTCTTAGGTACTTAGGTCCAGTAATCTGGTCTAAGTTAGATGGAAAAACAAAAACTCTAAGAACGCTACAAGAATTTAAAAGTGCTTTACATACATTAGATATACAAAGTTTAATCTCCTCGGACAATTGCAAGAGCTGTATTTTATGTAAATCTTAATATTTTATATTATCAGCATTGTATTTTTAATCTTTCAAGTAATTTTAATTACACAGGGTGGGGTAGTACATATATACAGGGTCAACTATACGGGGCAGGAGTGCATAATTTATGCATTTTATATATAGTAGCTTAGTTTAGTTTAGGTGTCCTTATTTAGTGGGAGACTGCTATTGATTTGACACATTGATAAAGTTTATTATTATTATTATTATTATTATTATTAAACCGTACCTGGGTTGAATAAACCGACAATTTCGATGTGTGGTTAAAAGGAAAATAAAGAAAAAGCAATGTGATTTCTAGCACAATGGTCTGTGCTACACTCATATATAATTGCGTAGTTTATAGAAGTTAGAGTCGATGGCTGTCATAATGGAGGTAATGCTTTTGTCACATTAATGCCCCTGTTTTCTAATTACCTTTTTAAAGTCTTAAGGTTTAAAACAATTTATTGAAGATCAAGTTTTTCAATCTCATCAATAGCTCTATTGTTTATCAATGCTTATAGACGGCTCAGTTAGAGTCCAACTTATTGAAAATATCAAAATACCTCAGGACTATCCATCATCGTCTACAGTTCGTCACAGATGACCCCGAATAAGTTATTTGTCTAGTGACTAGACGTAAAATAAACAATCTGTTCAACCCGGGATGAATACATTATTTTATCGAACTCAAACATACACATGTATATCAGCCATAAACACACAATTTGCACACATTTGTTTGAACGTTTTGACAAAACGCTGACAAAAATTAATTTTTGAGACAATTTTAAATTAGTATTGCATGGCCAGATATAGTTTACTGGTTTAAAGTTTCTACAAACACAATCTTAAGTTCCTGTCTCCGTTAAAAGACCCATTAAATAGTAATATAGTAAATGGGGTGTCTAGAACATTTTAAACTTAGGGGTCCAAAATCCAAAAAAATGTTCTCAAAAAATATGATATCAAAAGTCTCAATCTAAAAATGTTTATAAAAAATTTGAAAATCCTGAAATGTGAAAACTATATTGAAAAATATCTTCAACAAAGTCGGAATCCAAAAACGCAGACTCATGAAAATTGAAAATGGTGAATCTAAAACCAGTTCAAACCGGTTCAAGCTTGTTCAAACTTGTTTTTTCAAATTTGGGGAATCCCCGAAATAAAAACACTTAAAGAAAAAGCACGCATATAAAATATGAGTATGGAGAATACCAGATAACAAAATCGGAAAACACTTAAAGAAAAATCACATATAGAAAATATGGAAAAAATATATTTACATATAGTATAGATAGGAATAGAACGGAATTACAGAATCTGACAAAAGAGCAGCTCATTAACATAATAATGAATTTGAGACCTGTTCCGGAAGATCGACCTTCACCAAAACTAAGGAAAATTAGACTTACCTCATCATCAAATAATGTTCAATAGATGGTTCAAGATTATGAAGAAAACATTATTGAACCACCTCTAGAGTTTAGAGATGATTATAAACCAGTGCCCAAACCAAGAACAATAATTGAATCTCCTCTTGAGTTTCGAGATGATTATAAACCAGTGCCTAAACCAAGTACAAAGAATAAAGGCTGATAGTTTCTAAAGAAACTCTTTGGGGGTGCGTCAGTGGGGGTAACAAAGTAATTTGGATATATCGACAAAGTTGAAATGGTAAATTGGCCACCGTAATGATTACAAAAGCTGACGTTTTGAGCGTTAGCCCTTCGCTCCGACGAAGGGCTAACGCTCGAAACGTCAGCTTTTGTAATCGTTACGGTGGCCAATTTACCATTTCAACTTTGTTGATATACCTAAATTTAAAATTGTTATATGAAAAACAGACGAAGGAATTACAAAACTTCCCCTTGAAATAATCTCAGCTTCACACATCTCTTTCATTATCATTATCATTATAACCATCATCTTCTTTAAGTTT